TCCATTATACAGTGACCCACTTGTAACCTACTGTACAGCGCAGAGCGACACCCACTTGCCCACCTTTTTTTTTAACATACATTTGAAGTTCAAATTTTACAAAATCACGAACGTATATTGTACGATTTATCATTGAATTCAAATTTAACCCATATATCTATATTACTGTAATTTACTTAATAATGAGGTTGTCATATACTGTACTGCAAAGAGTAGTTTTCTACTTCCCCTCCTTTAAAAATTAAATTTTAATACTTACATAGTGGCATTGTGGTAATAGATCTAGATTATACTGTTTTACGCCACTTTTAGATTAACCGAATGAAGAAAATATTATATAATATTGTCGTATACCTATGTATCGATGGTCCATAAAATAATTGATAACAATTCACACTGTTGAATAATCGGGTGCTTTTAACTTTGGTAATTTGTTTCATATAAAATATATAATTATTATGTATTTAATTAGTTAGCTCATACAACAATATGTACTAAATATTGTAAAATTTTATAAAGCATGGCAAAATGATAATGGGACTTAGTTGGTAACATTTTTATATTTTATTATATATTATGTATCGCTATTAATTGAACCATTTATTTTACTAATCTAATTATCAAACTGACAAAGTCGAAATGGTTTTGTAATGTTTTAATTTTTTTTTTTTGTATAATACATATAAAATGTTTTATATTTCATGTAAAATAAATTATTCCCCTTTTAATTTATTTATCTAACTATACTGACAAATAAGAATATGAATAATAGTATTTACCTAAGCTTTTATTTTTGGTATCTTACATAGTGCTAACAATGTTCTTATAATCTTATCAGACTTGCACTTAAATTTTATTTGCTAAACATAATATTTATATAATATAATGAAAAACATTATGTTCCATTTCCATTATTAATTATTTTTAACCATATATTATAGAGACATGTTTTGGTGGAAGTTGGTAGTTAATTTGTGTTGTAGGTACCTAGTACCTACACATTTTCTATGAAATATTTTACAAAATTTGTAATATTTAATACCTCCAAATTTAAACAGTTTTAATCGATTTCGGAAAAATCTTCATCTGCCGCGAGTGGTTTCAAATGTTTCAATGGTGACTCAGTCTGCAGGTGTCTTCACGAAGTCTCATGAAATAATAATTTTAATATGGCGATCGTCGCGATAGGTATCTAAATAATGATTTATTGGAATGAGCAACGAAGACGCTAAATAAGATTTTGATTTTCATACTAGTGTATTTAGTTGTACTTGGTACATTATAAATATCTGTGTTTGGATATTTTGTGTATTTGGACTCAAAAAAGGAGTTACACACTTGCACACGTGTTTGCGATGATATATATATATATATATTATACACGTATAATAAATCATCGTGTCGTATAGTAGCTAGAATGGGTTATTACTCGTCGTATTTACATAATAATATGTTCGCATCCAGAGCATGTAATTATATACAGACATCCTAAGACGCTAAATCCCAATTAACTTTAAATTACGCCCCACTCGGTGGTATTATTCACACGTACTTTGACCTGATACCACAGGGCAGACAATTTAACCCCGAGCAACAACAATACCACGCAGCAGGTTTTTAGTTTCTGCCAAATTCAAGCGTAGATTAGTACATAGGTGCTGTTTTAAAATATTCCATTCTTTTTAATATTTTAAGTTTTGTAATTTGACATTGCAGTTGACGCATTTTAATGAGAAATTAATGTGTTTTGGATATATTTTATTAATTAGGTGTTTGGATGTCTGAGGTTGTATGTAATTTGAGACGCATCTAAAAATACATTTTGGGCCACATCTGGGGCAGATTAATAAAATTAATATTAAGAATTGGTGCAAGTCACGTGTAGTTTTTTTCATATATTTTGGCAGAAATTACAAGTGGGTATACCTATTAAAATTGGCTTAAAATAGTCTGTATTCCACCTTATACCACCCGTGTGATTCACACAGTGTGAATTTTCTATAGCAAACACGTTGATCGCGGGTTCAATTTTTGAGGTTGGAAACTTTTTCAGGGAAAATATCACTCAGTAGAATATTATTATATTGTGATACGTTTAACCGAAACCTCGAGATTGTAAATATTGACCACGCATTGTCATACGTGAGTATGGGTACCTATATAATATTATTATGTAAAGGTAAATGGTTTTGCAGCGCTATTGTCGTCGTAAAATAACCTAAATTTTGGTATACTTCTCCGTTTGGCGTTTTTTAAAAAAAAAATAAATATTTTTCGTAGTTTGTTTTCAAGTTGTGGTCGGTTGGTGCAGTGTGTGTTCGATTTTGAGGAGTATTTTACAACACTGTTTATGATAAATATTACGGAGAGAAAATCATTTTTGATCGTTAATTCTCATTTGTGACGAGAGAGGAAAATAATTTGTGTGGGTTCATTATTATAATAAAATGTGTCACGGTGGTAAACACACTTCGTACACTCTACGCTGAAAAATTTGCAGAGTGGAAAAAAAGCAAAGTTTGATATACCATTCATTTAACAATGCTGTAAGTTTTTATTATGTAGGTACGGTAAATCATAAGTATATACCGTGATTATCATGTACTACATATAGGTACCTACTGCAGTCGTAAAGTTGAATTAGTCCTCATGTTCATAGGACTTGTCCGCAATTAAATACAATTTTAAACGGTCGTTTCTGAAATGATTAATATGTAATATTATTTTAGTACCTATACCCCGTCGACATTGCTTTACTATTAGCTACAATATAACCTACATAAAGTATTTTATTGTTTTAAATTCTGAGAGAAGCGATTAATCTATTGATTTTCTAATAATATTTGTGTATTTATTTTTATTTTTTGTGTCTTTCATCACTTTTTGGGACAGTAAAAATGCTTTGAATTTATTTCTACTTGATCATCTTTTTTTGTAGGAAAGTAAATCTTGTCGGTTCTTTGGGGGGTAAAAAGTAAAAAATTTCTAGTAGGTAGTTTTCAAGATATAAATAAAGAATCACTGTAATCGATGTGTTAAATCCAATGATATAAAACATTGCACACAAAAAACGATTTTGAGCTATGACGGTCTGTCAGCCTGTAATACTTATTTTGTGATAATTGTGATTAAAATAATTGGTTTACTATCATAGGCACTATAGTATATAGGTAAAAATAAGTATATAAACTTAGTATAACTAATACAGTTGGTTAAATTAGTTTTTGCCAAAAAATTTGCATTTTAAAATTGTATTATGACATGTATAAAATATGATAGTAATATATTTTAAATGTTTGAAGTACCCACGAACAATATTTTTAAATTACAACAAAATAATTAACTTCGTTATTTTTGATTGTAATTTGAAAATTAATCCAAATTTTCACTTAAAATATCTGTAAAAATGATTTGTGTTCATATATTTTTCAGATTATTTGGTTACAGAATGAACTTTTTATGAGAATTCTTGTTTTCAATGCCAATCCTTAGTTATAAAAATTGAACATTTTTAAATTTTTTTAAAAGCAAAATATTTTAAACATTTTCGAAATGTCGATAATTTTTATTTTAATATCTATAAAAAAAAATCGTGCTTATAAACCTTTAATTTTTCTCAGCTGTCATTATAACTGCTTACTTTCATCTCAACGAAAAAAATGTAATTGATATTTATAGAAAAAAAAACTAACATAAATTTCAAATTTCAATTGTCTATAAAAACCTAACTTAAAACGAGTCAATTTATTTTGAGAATATTATCATGTCCACTTGAAATCTACTATTCATTAGAGTGACTTTTCTATAGTATTTTTTAAGAAACTAATTCATTTACAGTTCTCTCGTCTGTAAAAGCTTGAACCACGATAAATAATAATCATTTGTGTTGTGACTCAAATATTTCGTATATAATATTATAGTTTACCAATATCAATTGACAAAATCAAAAAATTAAGTTATTTACCGGCAGTTATGTTCACGATTCAGGATTTACCGTAATATTATACCATAAAATATTATTATATGCAGCCATGCGTGTATTAATAGAATTCTATTCACCATTTTACTATAGTTATCCTTTATTCTGTTTCCTTGAAATCTCCGTTTAATTACCCTTTTATACTACCATTTTACGCCTATTATGATTTCCCTTTTATTATCCGTGATAAAATCAATATGGCTGTAATAGGATTATCACACGGTTGGGTATAAAACACTTTTTTTATGACACGATTGAGCCAATTTGTCGGTGGAACGTGAGATATAATATAGAAATACAAAATAAATCCTTCCCGATTGAGCATAAAATAATTCATCATTATTGCCATTTGCCATGTTAAACGATTCTGAAATGTATTATACAAAAAATATTGAATGAATAATCCTACAATAATACAAGACGTGTGGTATGAATTAAAAAATATCACTATTTTATGGTCAGTGGACACAATATGTATTGTTGATATTAATAATGATAAATAATCATGCAAGATTACTGCATGTAATGTTTACGTGACTAGTTGATCGAAGTATCGAACACTCATTACGCTTAATCTGAATTACTTTGAGTTATTTACCTTACCAACTTTAAAGCCCATAGTGTGTAATTTGGCCTAGAATGACGAGGGTTTAAGTGAGTTTTTCGAGTTTATTACTGTCATACTAACCGATAAAACTGAAATTGTAATTATTACAATGCATGTATATTTGTCATTCCTAATTTATAAATAGATAAATATAAATTATAATAATAATTATACATAACAATATTTTCAATAAGTACGAGTATATTATAATTGTTATGATACCTATCGTCGTTCATGGGAACAAACATCCTATGTGCATAATTTAATACTTTTAAGTTTTGGTATCTCTGGATTCAGAAAAAAATTTGCTTTTTTTTTTTTTATTGATCTTGAATACATCGACATCTAGGTCATTAGTACAAGGTGTTAAGTTAAGAGGTATTTACAATAATATATTTCATAATTTTTTTTTTTTTAAATTAAGTTATACAATTCTGATTTTTTAAGGAATAAAATTAAGTTGTTAGTGTCCTGTGGGTTTGGTCCAAGTGCTTGACAGATTTGTTCGGAGATGTGGAATTGATCGCGGTACTGGTTGTATTTATGGCATTCGGTGATGATATGTTTTACCGTTAGGGGGACTCTGCATGTGTCGCATAATGGAGGTTCGTCGTTGCTCATCAAGTAGCTGTGCGTTAGATGTGTGTGTCCTATTCGAAGTCTGTTGATTGTGGTTTCATCTTTTCTACTAAGTCCGGAATTTTTCCATAGGTTGGTGTTATTTTTAATTTGATTGAGTTTAGTGTTAAGTTGTCGCCAGTGGGAGTGGCATTTATTGTTTATGTAAGTGTTGATTACGATTTTCGCGTCGTCGAATGTGATGGAATTTATATTTGTGGTTGATGTTGAGTCTATTGCGTTATGAGCTTCTTTATCCGCTATTTTGTTTCCCAGTATACCACTATGTCCAGGAATCCATACAAATAGGATTTGTTTCCCTTTTTTGCCAGCCTGGAAGGTTTCTTCTTGGATGAGCTTTGTGGTATCGGGCGGGTTACTTGTATTTGTGATTGCTATTAGATTGCTTAGTGAGTCGCTAAGAATTATGCATTTAGTTTCGGGGCTTACGCATTCTGAGTGGAAATATCTGGCTGTTTTGTATATTGCAATCGCTTCTGCTGTAAATATTGAGGCTTGGGGAGGAAGTTTATATGTTATTTTTTGATTATTTACTATCATTGCAACCCCGACTCCGTTGTTGGTTTTGGAGGCATCAGTATAAATTTGAACACTGTTTGGATGCTCTTGCAGTATATTTTGAAGCATGTTTTTATATATGGAGGGAATTGTGTTTTCTTTTTTGAAATTTGTTAGTGAGAGGTTGACGTTGAATGTCGTGTTCCATGGGGGAAAGTTATAGGGTTTTCTATCTAGAATGTTGTTTATTTTTATATTTTCTTTTTCAGCTTCTTGTATATATGTGTTTATTATTTTGGTTGCTGGGTTGTTTGTATTTCTTTTGGTTCTGGCACAATGCAATAGAAGTAGTTTTTCCCTTCTGAGTTTAGGGGAAATTTCGTTGGCGATGTTTCTAATGCTCTCAAAAAAAATTTGCTATTTATTGATAAAATATCCTATTTACTATCTGCATCGTAAAATTAATAAAAAATAATAAATCAATTCTCCTATGTGATATCTCCACCGTAGAAAAACCCTATACCTAAATCATATTTTATCATTTTGTACACTTGATAAGATTCTCAAAATATTTTAACCCGGTGCGAGTTGTTTACGGACATTTTAAATTTTTATGTTTTTTTTTCTTTAAATGTCAATAAAATTTCATTCGTTAGGTCTAAATACTTGATTATTTAATACAAGGCCTCCCACACAGTGTTAAAATATCAGCTTAAAAACATTATTTTTTTATGAGCATTTAAAGTTAGAATTTTGACAAAATGTATACAATTTAAAACTTAAAAATGATTTTGTATTTAAAAATGTTCAACTTTTTTTGTTAAGGATTGAAAATTTAAAACAGGGTTTCACATAAGTAGGTTATTCTGTAACTAAAAATATAAAAACGTGGTTTTATATTGTTATTTTATGTTAAGGTACGGACGAAATTAGATATTTAAACGAAGAAGAAATCATTATTTTAGTTTTGTGTTATATTTTAAAAATATTATTCGTGGGTACTTGAAACTTTTAGAGTATAATATTAATATGTATATACAAATATGATAATCACGCTAGATATATAATAGATTATAATTGAATGATGAATGATGAATGATGATAATTAACAAATAATAATAATTAAACTTGACCGCGGTTTGCGGTTACTGTGTAGGTAATTAATAATAATATAAATATATTATAACATATGCTAGGCTGATAGACCGTCTCTGTTTAGAATCGTTTTTCGTATACAATTGACGTGGTTGAAAATGTAATAGGAGGTTAGTCATTACTTATTGTAAGTGGAAATTAAAAAAAAGTTGGTAGTAAATCTGCAATTATTTTTTATGAGCCATGGCGTCTAAATTAGAATTTTGATAATTTTTTGTCAAAATCATGAATTAATAGCTAATTATTTTGAGTTGGAAATGTACAATACATTTTCTATTTATATTTAAGATTTTAAAATTTAATACAAGATTCCAAGAATATTTTCCTACATTTAACAAAAAAAAAAAAATTACCGTAATATCATTTTTTTATTACTGTTTGCAGTTCAAATTTTTTTGACATTTTATATTCACATTATGATTTCTCATGAAACGAGTTTCTTATAATTTATATTCAAAAATGAATGACTGTAGGTGCACACTCTGTTTGGGCTATTTATAGATTATTATAATATAATTTTCAATATTTATTGTTTTTTTTTCTAAAATTTCGTTAATTTCTTTTTTTTGAGAAAATTTACAATGCTTGACTGTTTAGTACAAGGTTCATCATACAATTACAATAGTAATTTAAAAAGATTAAAAATATATAGATAGATTTTTTTTTGTAAAGTATTTATAGTTTTAATTTTCACAAAATTCAGCATAATTCAAATTGAACATATCCCACCACACCTAATGTACAGCAAAGTTATACCCACTTTTAAATGTTATTTGCATTTACCTTTAGTTACGGGGTAGACTTGTTGACTTATCAGTTATTGAAATAAGCGTAATTTTATCATTGAGGGTTGGAAATCCAAAACGTAATATTTCCAAAATACTGATTTTTCAGGAAAAGCGATTTTGTGTATCTTAACATTTCCAATACTTAGAAACAAGCCATTTATAACCAGACAAATCATTTTGAAAAAAAGCTTTTTTTTAATTATTTAATAATATATTATTTATATTATTATTTATATTATAAATGTTTTAAATATCCTAGAGTTATATTTTTAATTTATTTTAAAACTTAATTAAAATTTTTAAAATTAAATTTAACTACGTTTTTTAATAACATAAAAAAAGTACGTTTTGAAAATAGTTGATATAGTTAGGTAATGATTTGTTAATATTCTTTTAACCTTGCCAATAGTACGTTTTGGCGTAAAACTGGAAAAAGTACGTTTTGATTTTCTAAATATAATTTATATGTATGGAAATGGTTCGTTTTGGATTAACCAGTCATTTTGAATTGCAAAATTGACCAGGAAATATTACTTTTTATCTATTCTGACGACGCAAATCGATGTATCGACATTTTTTAAATAAGAATCGATACCTACCTCGATTTTGTCAAAAAGATACACATTTTTTTTAAATGGGTTTTAAATTTAGGTATATTATAGTAGGGCACTAGGAGCATAATAATGATAATGATATGAATAAAATTAAACACATTATTTATAAACCATAAACTTGGTTTGAGAATCTGTATAAATATTTAAAATGCGTTTGACAATCTTTATTCCTAAAAAATGTATCTAGATGAATTTATTTAGATTAGTAAAAAAATTATCTAAGATGAACGTTTAGATACCTTGTAACTTTTTATCTAGATAAGATAAAATATAAACAAATAATTAATAGATAAGTTGGAACACTGGATATTGTTGGAAAGCTGCAGAGAGCGTTTATGAGCGTATGCTGTATGGTGATAGCCGCCGAACAAGTGGCTACAACTAAACTGCAAATCAGTGACACCGATATCGAAGAAAAGTAGCGAGTAGCTCATGTGACCCTGGTACATGGAGACCGCAACGTATACCCAACGTACACACTTTAAACGAGCAGTACCTCAAAAATCGAAATGTGGTGAAAATTAGTTTTACGAATTCTTTGTTTTTGACATTGAAATTATTATTTTTACAGACTTTTTTTTGTATTTTAGCTTATTTATCGGCATCCCCTGCTTGATTACTTTTAAAGTTTTGTTTTTGCACTTAGTCAATTATTTTAATTTTTTCTCTGTTTTCAAACTGCATTTTTAGTGGAGTTGTTAGTGCATTGGTGTATAAGAAGAAAAATAAACCTTAAACAAATGGGATAGACGTGACAATAGTCTGTGAAGACAGTAACCTTACAGTCTATTCTGATTGTCTCGCTTCAATTTATGACAAAATCGGTCGAATGTTTTTTTCATAATATTATATAAACATAAACCCCAAAATTTTTCTCTAATATTTAACTGTTACCTATTTATTAATAAATTGTGTTTCTGTAAGTCTATACAGCTAAGCTTATACCTGGAAGAGTTTCATATAATATATTATTATTATAATTTATAAGTGATCGTGCTCACAACAGTTCATAGTGACATCATTATTATAGTGATTCAGCTTGACTTTTGTTATGATATATTTGGATGTACACAGCAAACAGTTAATATTATACCAGCACAATGTTACTCGATGTCTCGTGAAATTGATGAAATATTTGCACTTTGCTCGTACGAAACAATATGTACCTACTATATACAGAATAAACACAAATTGTGTAAAGTAAACATTGGAATAAGTTAAAAAAAGTACGTACCTAAGAAAATTTAAGAAAAAAAACATTACAATTTTTTTTTCATTTTCATTCTTTAAAATACTATTTTTATTATTATTGATGTATTATAGACGTATAGTATAGTATAATGGTACAATATATTATCATAATATAATACAAAATCTAAATTCCTTTTTTTTACAATATTAGCAAATATATAAATGACTTAAACAATATTATTATACTTCTATGTTTAAAAATGCAAAACCAACAAAAAGTCCTCCACATGTACCTTAACCATGTTTTTAGCCAAAAATCGTGTAGAATACTGTATTCAATATCCATATTTAATATTTATTATTACATATTATTATAAAAACATAATTTATTTATTTATCTTAAATGAAATAATTAAGATCCCAAAAATCCTTATAACTAATTAAAAAAAAAGTTTTGTTATAGTTTTAATTTTGAAATTATTATATAAAAAAAATGATGTTAATCGAAAATGGTAATTGAATCTTTTTTTTTTTTAATGTGCAATCAAGTGAATTGATGTAACACAACAATCATCGATTTTGTTAATATATATGATACGAGAACAAACCGAATAATTAGGTACTTGTAGAAGTAAACGATGTGTCATATAGCCGTCAAAACGTAGTCATTTAGCTATAGGGATTAAGTATGATACAAATTAGTATAAAAGCTACGCATCCAGAGTCAGAGCATACAATATAATAACCTTAAACTTTAAAGCTGCAAATAGTCATTAGACTATTGTCTCCTCGTGTGAGCTCAGGTTAGGTACCTCAGGTAGCTTATAAAGTATATATTTAAGTTACATTATAATTTTGTCATGCATTATCAAGTCACGGTACTTAGTAGGTACAATGTACATAATATGTAAGCATTTAAGTAGGTAAGTTGGTACTACTCAGTAAACTATTTTAGCTATAGGTATTTGGTGGTCATGTTTTATAACTAGTGGACTGTAGATTTTCTACATTGTACTTACCTTAAAGTGGCATAAGTTTGTATATAACCTAGATCAACGATGACAAATTTTTCTATTGATATACTCGACAAAAATTGTTGTTTTCTTCATACACTGCAAGTACGACATAACAAATTTTCGTTCGCTATAGTTTCAATAGGGTGCTGTCAGTTTTCATATTGCAATGAATTGCCTCATTATAAAACTTTTAAGTAATAGAATTACCTATATTCTCTCGTTGGTTTAAGGGAGTCATGAATATGTAAAACAATAATATTATAAAATGCTTATAATTCACTTAAAAGTTAAAATACCTATCGTAAAAAACCATCGAGAGAACACAGATAATGTTGCTACTTAAAAGTTTGATGATAGGTTAATAT